AGCAGGGCACTTGCAGCTGAGCGTCCGAAGTTCCAGTGCCACGACTTTCCAACACAAGTATAACCTTCAGGAGTCCCTTTCAGAAGTTGGGGCTTTGAGATTCGTCACATTGATGTTGTAATGGCGGGGTTATACTGAGTTATAGCCCGCTAGAGTTCTTTATAGTCGTCTAAGCTAGCGCGTTCCTTAAGGGCTATATACTAGTAGTCGGTGAATCCATTGGCTCCATAGATAGTATTTTAGAGCTAAGGAGCTATTAAGACCTAAGGTCCCTTTATGATACCGGAAGGTATCGCGCAGGGTTAGGGCTAGGTGTTATACCCCACCATTGGTGGGGTGGTCGTTTGTATGTAGATAAGATAAGGCTGCCCCACTCTGGATGGTGGGATATCTCCCACCACTGCAGTTGCTGCTTGCAACTACCAGAGGAGGACAACCTGACTTTTCCCCGAATACATGGCATTTGCCCTCTTTTCCCAGCATACGGCTCTTTTCCGTATCACTTTAAGAGTCAATGTTAGGGTAAAGAGGTGCGAGCAATGAGCGACAGCACTGATCAGCATAGTAGGAGTAGTTTGTGAGCAACCAGAACTACACTGAACTCTGACCTCCTCTTCTACCTAATTTATCTCCTCCCTCTTTAACTTCCGAACTAGAATCGCAGCCTTCCTCCTAAACCCTTCCCGCGCACTGAGATATATCAAGCCAACTGCTCCTACGCTGTTCTTCCATCACTGAAGCATAGTAGAGACATCTCCTAGCTCTGCTGTCTTGCTCCCACGCCACTTGCAGCAGCGCTAGTATGACGGGCACCACCCAAGGTCTGGTCAGCTCGCACATACAAGATCGATATTGCTACAACGAGAGCAAGAGCTAGATGGCAGGAATGTGTTGGGCAGCCAACAGTTACATGCTTGAGTAAGCTTAGACCAACCAAGTGGTATTGAATAGATTGGGGTATGAAATGAAGCTTGAATTGGAGTCACGATTCCAGAGTGACCACACAAATGAAGGATCAAGATGGTGGGTTAGGGTGCCTCAGAATGTCCCT